ACATAATAAGCAGGAAGCACGTAAGTAAGGATGTAGTAGGTTGAACACTACCATTAAACAGTGTGCATTATGTTAATATAAGACACTCCTGATATACATTTTTCCACACATATATGGAATATAAACCAAGAGAGACGACGCTCTGGGCTTATATCAAACAAACCTCAGTAAGACAAAAAGAAATGAAAGTAGGCCAGTGGCATGGCTTAGTGAGTAAAGGCTCTTGCCACCAAGTTCGATGACCTGAGTTCAGTCCCCAAGACCCACAGAGTGGAAGGAGAACCAACTCCTCCAAGTTTTCTTCTGATCTTCATACATGTGCTGTGGGTCCCATATTTATACATACACAAAATAAATAATAAATAAATAATAAATGTAATGAAAAATATTAAAAAATGTTTTTTCAACCATAGTGGATTCTAGAAGGCAACTTACAGATAGCTAGAAAGTTCTAAATAGAAATCATCTAAAACACATTTAAAAATAATTCATGAACGACAAATTCTAGGGAATGAAAATAAAGGCATAATATATCAAAACTTGTGGAAAGCAGCCCAAGCAGTACAGAGAAGGAAACAAGTGACACTGTATTTTAGAATAGAATAGCCTCAATGCAATAATCTAAGATTCTACATTAAGAAACTAGAAATCACTGGACAATGGTGGCTCATGCCTATAAGCCCAAGAGATGGAAGGCTAATGTGTAATCTGAGGCTAGCCTGGGCTTCTGAGTAAGAATCTGCCTCAAAACAAACAAAACTAGAAATCTTAATACAAGAAAATATTTGAAGACCTGAATTTATACATTAATTCTGATACAAATAAAAATTTACCCATAAAATCTGTAATTGTGATGCATACATGTAAAATCCAAAATGCTAGCCATTAAAGATAAACTAGAAGTCTTAGAGGAAAGTATGAGAAAAATTTCATTAGTTGGACTTGGCAATCATTTTTTTTTCCAATATGAACCAAAAAGCACAGTCAAAGAAAGTAAAAATGTACACCATAGACCATATAAAAATTAAAAACCTTTGTGCAAAGAATATAATCAGAAGAGTGAAAAGGAAATTCAAGAATGAGAGAAAGCCATTTGAGATTTATCTGATGTATTTGAAATATTATTTATTTAATGTGTATGAATGCCTACTGTGTGTAAATGCACCCATGTCATCCAATGCCTACAGAGGTCAGAAGAAAGCGATGGATCCCCTGGAACTGCAATTATAGACGTCTGTTACCCACCATGTGGGTGCTGGGAATCAAACCTGGGTCCTCTGCAAGAGCAGTCAGTGCTCTTAACTGCTGAGCCATCTCTTCAGTCCCAATCTGATTTTATTTTTAAGAAGAATACATATATAATGTCTTTAATTCATCAATACACACAAAAACATTAATTAAAACATAGGCAAAGGTTTTGAAGAGACATATTTCCAAAGATACAAAATTGGCGAGTATATGAAAAAAGCTTTCCACACTACTAATCATTAGAGAAATATAAATCAAAGCCATTGAAATTATCACTTCACACTTATTTGGAGAGCTCCAATTAAAAATGAAAAGGGTTGAGAGTAAGCACAGTGGAAGAGTGCAGGTTTAACATGCAGGAGGCCCTGGGCTTGAACCCTAACACAACAAACCAAAAACAAAATCCCTGAGACCATCTGCTGGTGGGAACGTAAAATAATGCAGAGCAGCAATGAAAATAGTGTGGCATTTCTTGGAAAAGTAAAAAGAGAATTACTGTTAGATCCAATAACCTCTGGGTATGTATATCCAAAAGACTGATCTGATGAGATGATAAGGCAGGCACGAAAGGACATATGCTTTATGATTTCGCTTGTGGTGAGGTGTTAGATAGTTTAAAGTCATAGAAACATTAAGTAGAATGTTGGCCTGCCAGTGGTTGTGGGGAGGAAGAGTAGAAGGTTAAAAGTTTGAGTTTTTTAAGTTGAAATACTCCGTTGCACAATAATATGAATATATTATTACTAAACTGCACACTTAAAAATGGGAGAGACAGGTAGGCATGATTCACACTTGTTATCCCAGCAATTGAGAGGCTGAGGCAGGAGGACTGCTGAGTTCCAGGCCTGCCTGGGATTCAGACTAAGAACCTGCTTCAGGAAAAAAAAAAAAAAAAAACAAGCCGGGCGTGGTGGCATATACCTAGGCAGAGGCAACCTGGCCTACATAGTGAGTCCCAGGTCAGCTGGAGCTACTGGGGAGACCCTGTCTCAAAAAGACCAAAAAACCCCCAAAAACCCAACCCAACAAAACAGAAACTAAAACAAAGACCCCCAAAACTCAGACACTAAACTTTGGGTAAAGGTACTTGTTGCCAAGAACTCTAAGAGTGGAAGGAAAGAACCTGATTCCTCAAGTCCTCTGACCTCTACCCTTGTGCCATGGCCCACATGCACCATGACTAACACACATATTATTAAAAAATAAAATTAGAAGTACTTTTTTGAAAGAAAGTAAATGATTTTTATCAGCCAAGCAAAATCCTTAATGTGTTAAAAATAAAGTTTTGAATGTTTACTTTCTAAGAGATCTACTAGAGAATGAGTTTCAGCCACTTACTTGACTGAGGAGTAGGAAGGGGGATTGAGAGTATTTTAAACTGGAGGTAGGAAGCAGGGTTAGGATTAAGTACTTTTTAAGTTTCCCAAATGATTCTAAAGTATACCCAAAGTTCAGAAACACTTGCCATTCTCTCTTCTGACTTTATTTTATGTGCATGTGTATAGTGCCTGCATGGAGGTAAGTGCACCTATGTCGTGCAATGCCCGCAGAGGACAGAAGAGGCTGCCAGATCCCCTGGAACTGGAGTTACTGACAGTTGTTAGCTGCCATATGGATGCTGGGATTCAAACCCAGGTCTTCTGCAAGAACAGTAGTGTTCATAACTGCTGAGCCATCTCTCCAGCCCTGCGACTTTATGTTATGTGCATGAGTGTATTGCCTGCATATATGTAAGTGCACCTGTGTTGTGAAATAGCTGCAGAGGCCAGAAGAGGGTGTCAGGTTCCCTGAAACTGAAATTAAAGATGCTTGTTAGCTGCTATGTGGCTGTGGGAAACTGAACCTGGGTCCTGTGTAAGAGCAGTCAGTGCTCTTGACGGCTAAGCTACCTCTCTAGCCCTCTCTTCTGACTTTAATTTACTGTAGTTACTCAGTTTCGTTCTGTTTGGCAGTACACACTAGTTGCTTTTGTCTGTATTCCCACAGGCCTACACTTTCTGACAATAGAGACAGATCTATTAGAACAGCAACAAATTTCTACAAACAGAAAGGTGATGGACTGGTTAGAAAGTACTTGGGTTATCAGTGGTGGAAACACCTGGCTCTAGCATTTGCTGTACATTTTTGTGTTCAGTCATTTATCTCAATATGATTCCTACTATGCAAGAACGAGACACCATCCATTCAGAATAATTACTAGAATAACCAACAGCTATTACTGTTGATAAAGAGAAGCAACAGAGGAAATATTTCTCCCAATAAATTAAACCACTGGAAATTTATGAAAAATATGCCCAAGTTCTACAGTACAAGCACAAGCAAGGTTAAAAATCCTATACCTGTTCCCCTGGCTGCTGAGGACTAGAAGCTGTTGGTTGCTGATGTGGTACAAACTGAGGGAGCTGCTGCTGGTGATGGTGCTGCTGCTGCTGCTGCTGGGTGTTAAAAATGAGTGAACCACCAGGAAGCTATTCAGAATTTAAAAAGAATTAATTAGCCACCTTTACGCTATTATTTTTTTAAATTTTCATTTGAAATATTTAAATTCATTTTACAAATATTAACATATAATTAATTTACTATGCACCATGTACTCTTCTAGGTAACTGAGGAAAACTGAAGAAAAAAACCAAAGCAATATGAAGGAAAGTAATTCTAACTAAACTAATGTGATCTATAGTCCTGCCCATATCACTAGTATACCTGTATTGCTTTTAGTCTGTGTATATTGACACCGTGTTTGCATCATATACAAGTAAGTTTCTAGCTTTAGCTCTATGCAGGTTTCCTTATCTGTTATGGCTAAATACAAGGTAGGCTGATCTGCCAGATATTTCTGTTTCCCAATAATCTATAGCTTTGCCATCATTACCAGATCTTTGTATTCAGATCTACCTTTTGTAGACACACTGCTACCCATTTTCCAAACTACTAGCTTAATATCTGACTCTTAAATTAAAGGACCTAGGGCAAGAGGGTAAAACAAGTTGTACTAGTGGCTGGGAGGAGACAAAATATCAAATGTTTTCTCTAATATGTAGAACCTTCATTTTAAACACACATGTACCATGTAAGTAGAAGAGGCACCATTTGGGGGAAGAAAAGGGGACCAGTGGAGGGAGTAGGGGAGGATGGGGAGAATATAAAGTACAATGATACATAGGTATTAAAATGTCATAATGAAACCCATTATTTTATATGCTAACTAAAAGAGTTAAAAATAAACAAGAAGAAGGGGGACAAAACAGGGTAATGGAACACATGTGACATGAAAGGAGGAGGAGGGACTATCTGAAGAGGAGAAAGGGAACAGCAAGAAAGGGAAGAGAGCCCAGGAGTGGGAGGGACAAAGTATAAAGAGATGAATGCATGAAAAATCATAATGAAAACCATTTCTTTGTATGCTAACCAAATAATTTATTAAAGGAGCTACCACAGGAACCAGAATATTATGAATTTACGATGTATACTAAATTCTCTATTGTCTAGTTCCCTATCCCCCCAACCCCCGGCAGTACTAGGCATCAAACCCAAGCCACTGCCCATGCTAAACAGGCGCTCTAACACTAAGCTACATTGTCAGGTTCCATTTTTATGAATATGTTGACACAATAATATGTATAAGAAAGGTAAAGCTTTATCATTATATATATATATATTATAAACCAATAAACATTTGCTAGTAAGTAGGTTTCTGCTACTATATTAAATCATACTCTCCTTGGGAAAATAACACATACTCACTTTTCAAATCTCCAAGCACAAAAATCTATAGTAACCCAATGGTATACAAATATATAAACATAAAACAACTGAGACATGAATTAGATTGTTATCTACTACTGCTATTGTAGGCAAGCACCCTTCCTGGTATGAGCTTTCCCTATTAGAGGAGCTAGTTCTTGATTAGGCAAGGTGGTGGAGTCAACTGAGGCAGTACTTAACAGAATACCGATTACTCTTCTTTACACTTAACTGCATAAAAGTAGCAATACAAATCCTTAGACGATTCTGAACAGACTTCAAAATTTCAAATGCTGACAGAATACATTGCCTTTTCTTTTTCTTTTTAAATGTAACCATAACAATTTATACCAAAACCAGTGTTTCATGTTTACCTGGAGTAGATTTAAAGGCCTGAGACGTGAAGTATTTTTTAAACCAAATGGAACACCTGTTAAATGAAACCGATGGTTATAATGGAATTTCCAATGAAAATAACTTTAATACTTCAATGTATAAAAATATATATTAAGCCCTTTCTCTAGATGTTTATTTCTATATACTTTTAATACACTTTAACAATAACAAAAATCATTTTTAAGTATTTATCAATATTGATTTTTGTTCAGAGAAGCGAAGTACTTATAGGTAAATTATATTCTACATTTAAAAAAAGACTTCTTTACTACTCTGAGTGTTGAATTAAGTAATCTAGAGTTATGTGGACACTGATAGGAAATCTATCACTGTTGTGCAAACACATTTTAAGTTCTGGCATCTATTTAGTTTCTAACTGCTACACAGTTTATAAAGGATGACAACTTTATGCTGCTTTCTAGCTTATCAAAGGACAACTTCGTTTATGTCTCCTAAGGACCAACTGAAGTTAAATTAATTTATTCCTATTTTAAAGTTGATGAAACTGAGACAAAGGGAGAAAAATCAAGTATCCTATCTAAGGACAACAACTGGAGCTATTTGTAATCGGTACCACTGGTATCTACATGTAAATGTAAATATCTTAAACTCAGGATTTGACTCTACTTTCATAGCTTCCTTATTAAAATAATAACTAGAATTAGGAAATCAACAACATGTTAACATATCTAAATTATATTCTTTAGGTTCTTCTCATAAATTAGAAAACTTTTGATAAATTTTCCTGTATTATTTGCTTTTCCTGTCAAATTTCTTACCTTGGTGGTAAGAAACCAAATTGCTCCAAGGAATTAAAAAATCATTTATTTAAAGGGCGTCAAAAATGGCACAACTGCAGAGTTGCGTGGTGCAGGCCTTTAATCCCAGCACTTGGGAGGCAGAGGCAGAGGCAGAGGCACGTAGATCTCTGAGTTCTAGGTTAGCAGGGACTACATAGTAAGACCCTGTTGCAAATAAAACCAAAACTAAAAGCAAAACCTAACACCACCACCACCAACAAAGCACACAACTTGTTTCAAACGCTGTTTGGTATATGTAGTAATAGCTACTAAAAAACTACAACAAATCATGGCAACAAATAACCTATTTATTATTGCCCAGGGATAGTTTAAATAATACTTCATCAACATTTACTCATTCAATCCTTCTATGAGGCAAATTACTATTGCTATCACTACCTTTATTTCTGGAGAAAATAAAGCAAAAAAGTAACTTCTCAAGATTATTCAAATATTGAATGATCAAACTTGAATTCAGATGAAGTAGTCTGGTTCCCAAAACTAGGCTTTTCACTACCTGCTATGTTGACTTTTGTATAACATTGATTTTCAAGATTTGATTTACAATTATTTTCTCTGGATTATGACTGTACTGATAGGAATAAGGCTACTGAAACTAATTTTAAAATTTTTATTTATTTACATTTATTTTATGAGTATGAGTGTTATGCCTGCATGTATATAGGTGCACCCATGTTGTGCAGTGCCCGTGGAAGATAGAAGAGAGTGTTGGATCTCCTGGAACTGGAGTTACAGATAGTTGTTAGCTGCCATGTGGGTGCTGGGATTCGAACCCAGGTCTTCTGCAAGAGCAGTTGGTGCTCTTAACTGCTGAGTTATGTGTCCAGCTCACTAAAACCAACTTTATTATTTATTATTGGAAAGAAAAGATATAATATGGACAGACTTATAAATTTAACAAGTTTCTTCCCAAAAGCTGATGGCTAGGTGGTTAATACTGATATAAAAACTAAAAAG